CATCCATCCCCCCCTCATCCCATCCCTCCCTGCCCTTGTCCCAAGCCCCTCCCCAGCTTTCCTGGAGCCCCTTCAGGCACTGGAAGCTGCTCTAAGGTCTCCCTGGAGCCTTCCCTTCTCCAGGCTGAACACCTCAACTCTCCCAGCCTGGCTCCAGAGCAGAGCTGCTCCAGCCCTCCCAGCATCTCTGGGGCTCCCCTGGGCTCTCTCCAGCAGCTCCATTTAGCCATCTCAACTATTTCTGTTGTTGGTTTGGTTTGTTTTTCCCTCATGCCTCTCTGTGAGTTACACGCATTTGCTTTGAGCCTCCACTATGGTATCTCTGAATGCTCTTCATGCCACCCACAAAGGTTTTTCAGTCTTTTGCTACTTCTTCATTCTTACCTAATTCCCCTGTTTTAATAGAAGAGTTTTGTTCTTTTTATTTTATGTTGCTCTGTGGGGGGAGGGGGATTCTGTGCTGAGTGTGAACATCGTGGTTTCTTGTAATTCCTCTGTTTTAATAGAAGAGATTTGTTCTTTTTATTTTATATTGCTCTGTGGGGGAAGGGGGGTTGTTCTGTGCTGAGTGTGAACATCGTGGTTTCTTCAAAACAATAGAATCAACCAGAACAGCTGCTCAGGAACAAGCCAAGAGCTGGTTTTCCTACAAAAAGTTCCCAAATAGCTGTTTTGTGAAGAAAACCTTGATGAGATCTCAAAACATAGCACCAGTATCTTGTCCTGAAATGACATTTACTTGGGAATAACCAGGATCTCCCATGAAAGTTGCTGTCCTGTCATTTCTGTGATTCCATCCTGCTCTTGGCAGAGTCAGTATCTTGTTTTAGCAGCTGAACCTGCAGCCCTGAGCTGGTACTTCCATCTGGGAAGGCTCTGTTTTATTTCACACAATTAGTCTGCTCCTCTGGTTTGACCACAGGAAAAGTAAAAGCATCAGCTGCTGACTGGGATCCCCAGGAGCCTGGGGAGCCTCCTCGGTGAGATGAGCTCCCCTGTTCAGTCTGGGAAAATGAAGATTGTTGAGAACTAATTAAGTTCCCATTTTGGCATAAACACCAAGTGGGGTTAAACAGATGAGGCAAATGTGCAGAGTGTCCCTTAGTGGAAGTTCTTTCCCCAGCTGGGGCAAAACCAAATTCATTGTCAGGTGGATCACAAGAAGCTCCCAGGAACACTCACAAGACGTTGTGCTGGGAGAGCAGGGCCTGGACTGGCTGAGCACAGGACTCTGGCTCCCTGCATCCCTCCTTGGCTGGCCAGGGAAAGATGGGAAGAGTCTGGGGAATCCCACAGCAAGACTTACAGAGAACATCATCAGCCTCCCTGTCCTGAGATCTTCCTGTGGGGCTCTGGAGAGCTCTGCTCCTCCCTGGGTTCCCATCCCTCACCCTAAGTGGCTCTTTCAAGTCCATCCCATGTTGCAAATGTTAAGGAGATGAGAACATGGCTCCTGCTGAGGCAAGGGAAGAGAGCAGGAGACCAGGCATGACTTGATATCCCCCCCTGATACCTCCTCACCCTCTGTGGAAGATGTGGTTGCAGTGCCCTGTGCTGGGCAGATGCTGAGCCAGAAGGTCTGCAGCACAGGCAGGGCAGAAAGAGCCCTCCAGTGCCCTGTGCTTCACAGCCCCTTGTCCCACAGCCACACCAGTCCCTGCCCAGGCTGGCAAGCCAGGACACCAAGGGACTCCTGGGGCAGGAGTGGGAAACTGGTTCCTCACTGCTGGGCAGAGAGAGCTGGCAAGGGGAAGCTGGAGAAGGATCAGAATGGTCAGAGTTGGAAGGGAACCTCTAGAGATCATCTAGTCCAATCCCCCCCATCCCTGGCTAAAGCAGGATCCCCTGGAGCACATCCCAAAGTAACACATCCAGGTGGGTCTGGAAAGTCTCCAGAGAAGGAGCCTCCACAGCCCCCTGGGCAGTCTGTCCCAGGGCTCTGTCACCCTCACAGGAAAGAAGTTTTCCCTCCTATTTCCATGTCACTTCCCATGTTCCAGCCTGTGCCCGTTGCCCCTCGCCCTGTCCCTGGGCACTGCTGAGCAGAGTCTGGCTCCATCCTCCTGCACCCACCCTGAGACACCTACAGGCATGAACAAGGTCTCCCCTCAGCCTTCTCCTCTCCAGGCTGAGCAGCCCCAGCTCTCCCAGCCTTTCCTCATCAGGGAGATGCTCCAACCCCCCAGCCATCTCTGTTGCCCTCCCTGGACTCTCTCCAGCAGTTCCCTGTCTCTCTTGACCTAGGGAGCTCAGAACTGGTCCCAGTTTCCAGCTGTGGCAGAGCAGAGGGGCAGGATGACCCCTCTCAACCTGCTGGCCACTCTCTTCCTCATGCACCCCAGGGTTCCCTTGACCACAAGGGCACACTGAACACGGTGCTGTGCTCTCTGGGCAGGGACCAGTTATAAGGGTAAGAAAAA